ATGAAAACACCTTCAGACTCGTTCTCTTTTATTAAACATAAAACATAAAACACAGGACAGAGTCGTGTGGATTTATATTTTTATTCCTGGTCAACACAATTGTTTGTAATTGTACCGTTAACTATTAATGTGCCTATCATCATCCTGTTGGGTTGTTAGATTCAAACTTAATCTTAAACCACACGTCACATATCATATATTAAAAATGAATGTAGGTTTATTTGATCATTTTTCATTGTATAGTTTATCATTTATTGATGATGATTTTTTTTTTTAATATATTTTTTTGGACAGTTTTGCCTTTAATTGATAGGAAAGTCAAGTGTGAAAGGGAGAGAGAGAGAGAGAGGGGATGACATGCAGCAAAGGGCCACAGGCTGGAGTTGAACCCGGGCCTCTGCGGCAACAGCCTTGTACATGGGGCGCCTGCTCTACCACTAAGCCACCGACGCCCCAGTGATTTTTCTTTAAAATAAAGTTTTAGACTGATAGTGGTTAGGGACTGTTTGTTATGCATGGGGGGGGGGGGGTCATGTCAAATAATTTTTAAGCACTGAGGAGGGACTTATGTTTTTATCTTGGTTTCAGGGAGGAGCATACAGATTCAAGTGGTTGTGTTTTGTATTTATTTTTCCGCCCATTTTTAAAAGACAAAAAGCAGGTTTGAAAGGCATTTTTTTCTGCAAAGATCTTCCCTTAAAATTTTTTATTTAAAAATCTTTCATAAAAACTGCAGGTGCTCTTTGGTCCTCGCGGAGGAAGCATAATGAGGAAGTGGAAGAAAATCCCAGTGAGGACACCAATATCAAAAATGTATATATACATGCAGTGTGTTTTCTTTGAAAGTCTTTGATGATATTTTTTTCTCGTTAAAAATTTTGGCAATTTTTGTTTGTTTAAAAATTGCTTTTTTGTTGTTAAAATTTTTTTAGCCATTTTTTCCCAAAAAAGTTTTTTTCTAAATATCACCAAAATGACCATTTATCAGTTCCCTGGAAATCCAGAGTTCTCGCGAGAGCACAATTTGAATTTGCTCAGCGAGTCACTCTGGCAATCAGTAATGATGCTCATTACCTATGCCTATAAAACCGAGCTGCACCAATCACATCGGTGTATCTGATATAGGCGGGCCAGAGGCGAGCTAAACAGATGACGACAGCGCTGCGACGACGAAGTCCGGAATCAGTCAGTAAACATTGCAAGATGGCTACGGATGAACACCAGTTGTTTGAAACGGCTTTGGCCGCTACAATGAACGAGTTAGACTTGGCTTTTTCTCTAAAAGAGGAACAGAAGACGGCGCTCGAATCTTTCCTTTGCAAGAAGGACGTTTTTGCTGTTTTGCCGACCGGATACGGCAAGAGTCTAATCTACCAGTTAGCTCCACTGGTAGCTAAGCGTATGCGTCACCCCGTGTGTTGTTCTGATTGGTCGTAGTGTTATCCAATTGCGTGCAGTGATATTTACAAATGCATGCTTGGTGCCGCCCCTCGAGTTGGGCCATTTGCATTACTCATGGCCAGACCCTAAATCTTTCTAGATTTGGGTCTGGATTTCCAGGCTAGTGTATCAGCCAGAAACTGTAAAAACTGAAATTATGGTTGGACCTTCAAATTTCCTGCGGTCCCTGGACACATCACGCGTGATGAACACATCCATCAGAAAAACAAAAAACAAACCATAAACACATCTGATCTTAAAATATTGATATTTCATTAAAATCACTTTATTCTACGTCTCATTTGAAGTTTGTCCAAAAAAAAAAACTGAGACTTTTTCCATCTCCTGGATTTCACCTTCAACCTTTAACTTTCAAACATCAAAGTTTTAAAAATCTAATAACTCATTTATGGAGGAGGGAGGGTGATGGAGTTTCCTCCACTCACTCGGGGAGGGTCAAAAACTCAGCCCCCCGCCCTCTGTAAGTAAAGAACAGTCCCTAACTGAAAGAAGTCTAACTTATTTGGTAAATTTAATTAATTAATTTATTTATTTATTTATTCCATGGAGCTCCGGGACATGGACACTCTGCAAACCTTATAAATAAAGACAAGAAGCATAAATAAACAAACTGTGCTCAGTCCGCATCAGTCCGGATCTACATTATAAACCAGAGTGAAGGTGGACTCTACTGACAGACTTGTTCACTGTGTGTGTTTAGAAAAAAGAGAGAACAGGAGGATTTCACGGTTTGTCAGTTTTTCATATTCTGCGGTAATTTCTGCTCCGCGTGTTTAAACCTAAACTCGGTCCCTTTCCCACTGAGTCCTGACTTGATGTGATGCTGCGGGTTATTAACCTGAGTCCAGCTGCTGCTGCTGCTCTTCTCCTCCATCAATGAAAACATCTGTCTGTGAAGAGGAAGATGAGGATGAAGACTCACCATGATGAAGCTGCTGCTGCTTCAGACACAGCAGAAGAAGAAACAGTCCTCCAGGTGAACCCTCTCCACACCTCCGTTTATATTTCACTCATCTTTCACTCTGAACACAATCTGTACAAATCTCTTTGTTTCTGCTCCCTCCTCCTCCTCCTCCTCCTCTTCTTCTCCTCCTCCTTCATCTCATTCTTCTTCTTCTTCTGTAGGCCAAGTAAAGCTGCAGCTGTGACAGAGCAGCCGCTGCAGCAGCGACACCTGCAGGACGGAGACAATATTACATCCGGAATATTACATCAATAAATACAAAATAACTAAATAATTATACATAATCAACACACACAAAAAATATATAAAATATTTTATTAAATAAATAAACACAAAAATAAATATATATAATAAACACAAAAATATCTAATTACAAATAATAATGATACACAAATAAAGATAAAAATATAAATAACTTAATAATCACTAAATAAATAAGTATAAATACAAAAATAACTAAATAATTATAAATACGTAAATAAACACTATATATATATATATATATATATATATACATATATATATATATATATATATACACACACACACATATATATACAGTACAGGCCAAAAGTTTGGACACACCTTCTCATTCAATGCGTTTTCTTTATTTTCATGACTATTTACATTGTAGATTCTCACTGAAGGCATCAAAACTATGAATGAACACATGTGGAGTTATGTACTTAACAAAAAAAGGTGAAATAACTGAAAACATGTTTTATATTCTAGTTTCTTCAAAATAGCCACCCTTTGCTCTGATTACTGCTTTGCACACTCTTGGCATTCTCTCCATGAGCTTCAAGAGGTAGTCACCTGAAATGGTTTTCCAACAGTCTTGAAGGAGTTCCCAGAGGTGTTTAGCACTTGTTGGCCCCTTTGCCTTCACTCTGCGGTCCAGCTCACCCCAAACCATCTGGATTGGGTTCAGGTCCGGTGACTGTGGAGGCCAGGTCATCTGCCGCAGCACTCCATCACTCTCCTTCTTGGTCAAATAGCCCTTACACAGCCTGGAGGTGTGTTTGGGGTCATTGTCCTGTTGAAAAATAAATGATGGTCCAACTAAACGCAAACCGGATGGGATGGCATGTCGCTGCAGGATGCTGTGGTAGCCATGCTGGTTCAGTGTGCCTTCAATTTTGAATAAATCCCCAACAGTGTCACCAGCAAAACACCCCCACACCATCACACCTCCTCCTCCATGCTTCACAGTGGGAACCAGGCATGTGGAATCCATCCGTTCACCTTTTCTGCGTCTCACAAAGACACGGCGGTTGGAACCAAAGATCTCAAATTTGGACTCATCAGACCAAAGCACAGATTTCCACTGGTCTAATGTCCATTCCTTGTGTTTCTTGGCCCAAACAAATCTCTTCTGCTTGTTGCCTCTCCTTAGCAGTGGTTTCCTAGCAGCTATTTGACCATGAAGGCCTGATTGGCGCAGTCTCCTCTTAACAGTTGTTCTAGAGATGGGTCTGCTGCTAGAACTCTGTGTGGCATTCATCTGGTCTCTGATCTGAGCTGCTGTTAACTTGCTATTTCTGAGGCTGGTGACTCGGATGAACTTATCCTCAGAAGCATTGATAAAGCAAGAAATTCCACTAATTAACCCTGATAAGGCACACCTGTGAAGTGGAAACCATTTCAGGTGACTACCTCTTGAAGCTCATGGAGAGAATGCCAAGAGTGTGCAAAGCAGTAATCAGAGCAAAGGGTGGCTATTTTGAAGAAACTAGAATATAAAACATGTTTTCAGTTATTTCACCTTTTTTTGTTAAGTACATAACTCCACATGTGTTCATTCATAGTTTTGATGCCTTCAGTGAGAATCTACAATGTAAATAGTCATGAAAATAAAGAAAACGCATTGAATGAGAAGGTGTGTCCAAACTTTTGGCCTGTACTGTACATATATATATATATATATATAGTACATACACAAACAAATTGAAAATAATAAATAAATATCCAAACATAAATAAATATGACAATAAAATAAATATGGCTATGAGAAGAATCCTGAAATAAATACATGAGGCTATTTATACATAAATAGAAAGACTTCCTTGAGCTACATGTTTATATTTATATATAATTTGACTTGTTTTTATTGTGTTTTTTGTACTGATGCTTTTCTATGTCTTATTTGAAGAACAGTTTAATGACTGAAAACAAGTCAGTAAAATAAGAAAATGAATGAATGTGTAAATGTTTATGGTCTCAGCACAGGAACATGGATTCTGTAAATAAAACAGATGTAACACATGAACTATCAGTGTACACTGTTGTGACAGGCTGTAACATGGAGTACAGTGTGTAGTTGTGTGTGTTGTCCAGCAGGCGGCAGCACTGAGGTACTTTTACTCTGTTACTGCAGTAACGTTACTCATTCTGCTCTGTGAGAGTCCCGTTCTGTCCTACAGTCAAGAGTTCTTGTTATCATCAATTATTACTGATGATTTTCATGTGACAGCAGGTGGAGCTCATCTCTACTTTATGTTCTGTAGTGTGTGTGTGTGTGTGTGTGTGTGTGTGTGTGTGTGTGTGTGTGAGTGAGTGAGTGAGTGAGAGAGGGAGGGAGGCGGTCACACGCATGCGCGCGCTCCGGACACAGCGGCGAATTGTTTATGGAGAAACGTGACGAGAAAAGTTTCAAAGCAGAAACTGAAGAGAGAGAGACAGAGAGGAAGAAAGAAAGAAAGAAAGAAAGACAGAAAGAAAGAAAGAAAGAAAGAAAGAAAGAAAGAAAGAAAGAAAGAAGAGGAGGAGGAGGAGGACTGTGTGCAGGTGGGACAGACTTTATTTTTCACTCTGATGATATTTATCAAAACTAGTTTGTGTCTCATAAACAGAAAACTGATCCTCAGAGTGTCTCTGTGTGTTTCTCTCAGTATCAGTTCAGATTTATTGATCGTTTCCTGTTTACATGTCTGACCTTATTGATCATATTTATTGTTTATATAGAGTTATATATGTTTACTCTCTGAATGAAAACAGTTTGAACTTCTTATCTCAACATTTCAGACACTCAGAGTTTCTCATGATAACTGAAAGCTCATAATAATAAAAACAATAATGAAGACAATGAGAAAGAACAAAATATAAAGAGTGAAACTATCTGAGACTAATAAATATGTATTAATAAAACCATGAGACAGATTTGTTTAAACCAATAAAGTGACAGCTTTAACAGTTTAATATGAACTTGATTTCTGCAACAGATGAGACACAACAGAAAGATGATCATATTATTATATATTATTATAGAGATGATTTTATTTCTTTACCATTTTATTTTACAACACTTTGTATTTTTGAAAATTTGTTCATATTTAAATGTTTAATTTTTCTGCACTTTTATTCATTTATTTATTCAGTCGTTCATTGAAGCATTTTGAACTGCATTTAATTTCTGTTGGTCAATGAATACATCTCATTATCAACAATATTATTATTATTATTATTATTGTTGTTGTTGTATTATTTATTATTAGTAGTAATAGTTTAATTGTTATTATTGTTTTTGTAATTATTGTTGTTGTTACTGATCATCATTGTATTTACAATAACAATAATTATTGTTACTATTTTATCATTATCATTATTATTGTTATTGTTGCTGTTATTTATTAGTATTGTTGCATTTATTATAATCAAAATATTTATTTATCATTAGTAGCATTTTTATTATTATTATGGTTGTTGTTGTTGATGATGATGATGATGATGATGTTTGTAAATAAACGGGTCACATCAGTCACAAAATGTAATTGTTGTTGATGATGTCATCACGTAGGCAGGATGGATGTGATGTCACACTGCACTGGCTCTGAAATCACAGAGGGCGGAGCCAACAAGAACCCGGTCCAATCAGAATGCATCTCGAGCCAGCCGACAGCCAATGGGACGCTCCCGCATCTCAACACAGGTGAGACAAAATCGATGAACCGCACCTTTCACTTGCTGTGTGATTTTTATGACATCACTTGACAACATCAGAGGCTTCGTCTCACACCTGAACGTCCACATCCTCTCTGGACCAGAGGAGGATGCTGAGAGACCACTTCCTGTTTCAGGAAGTCTCTGTGGGACACAGGAGGTATTTTTACCCTGAGCTCATACTGACAGGCCGACTTCCTCACAGCTCCGAGACATGAGAGGCCGAAAATCACAGAAAAGATTCATCAGAGAGTCAAAAACCTCACAGATCAACACTGTGTGAAATACTGATTATAGATCATCAAACTTCTGATCAAACATGTCGTCAGACTGAAAAACTGTAACTTGTGTGTGTGTTCCATCATGTATTGAAGGTGACCTTTGACCTGACGACTGCAGACTGACTGCAAGAAACGCAACACACACACACACACACACACACACACACACACTGATAAACACTGTAACAGTGTGTGTGATGTAATGAGTGTGTGTGTGTGTCACCCTCACCTGGCTGGACGCTCACCTGTGGCTCGGGAACTCTTCGTACTGATGCCCGTGTTTCTGTGATGTTTTAGATCCCGCCCCTGCAGAGGAAGCCCCGCCCCCACTCTCTGACAGGACAGAGGACAGTGGTGATGACTCTGTAACGGACAGCTCCCCCACTGATGATGTCTCTCGCCTCCTGCCCGCCCAGCCTGCCTCCACACTCCGAAAACAGAAAGGTAACTGCTGAACACCTGAGTGTGACGTCACCTCTGATGTCACCTCTGATGTCATCTCTCTGTTCCTCAGGTGTGGACATGTCGTCAGTGTCTCCTCCTCCCATCTGTGCTCCTCCATCTTCCTCCCTCACCTCTCCTCCTCCTCCTCCTCATCAGTCATCCACCTGTAACAGAAACAGCTGCAACCTTCATCATCATCATCATCATCACGGACACAGAACCAATCAGAAGCGTCTCTCCTCCACTAAGAGCCACGCCTCCATTAAGACGGACGCCGCCCACATTAAGGAGGTCGCTGGAGATGGTGAGCCAATCAGCAGTTTGTCCTGATGTCCTGACTTCCTGTCGCTACAGGAAACATCACGTTACTAACATGGATTACTGAGGCTGGATGATATAAACAGGGATACTCGACTCGACTCGACTGGTCTATACGCAACTAGACTAATCTCTGCCTGACTTGACTCGACTTGCCTCTTCCTCTCTCAACGCGACTCTGCCTCACTCGACCTGACTCATCTAAAGTCTGCCTGACTAGACTCGACTGAATTCTATTTGACTCGACTCCACTCAACTCGACTTGACTAGAATCTTCCTGACTCAACTCGATTCAATCTGACTCTGCCTCACTGGACTCTACCTGACTTGACTCAACTCTACTCACCTCCACTCTATCTGACTTGATTCAACTCAACTCAACTCGACTTTTTGTGTTGCCCTCCCACTTCCTGTACACGTTGGCAAATACTGACGAGGCCGACTGGAGCTGAACAGACTCGTTCATGTACCGGAGTCAGACTGTAGACTCACTGCTGGTTAGCCTGTTAGCTTGTTAGCCTATTAGCTTGTTAGTCTGTTAGCTTGTTAGCCAGCTAGCCTGTTAGCTTGTTAGCCTGTGGATATTCTTCCTACAGAGTTCAGACTCTGTTGCATGCTGGTTGACAGAAACAATTTACTGTCTGTTAATTTAACGGTAGTTTTGAGTTTTAACTGAAACACGTCGATCATCTGCAGGTTGTTTCTTTTTCCTGTTTCCATCACGATACAACAAACAGCTGGGACATTATTTAAACACGCACACGTTTGAGTCTGACAGGAAGCAGAAAACTGAACACACTCCCACCTCACTGTTTATCAGCAGAACACCCTCAGCATGGAGCCACGCTTATCTCTGCTGCACACACACACACACACACACACACACACACACACACACACACACTGATAACACCTCCCACCATCAGTTGGTCTGGTTTCTACCAGCCAACACCCAAACAGGACTGAGACTGACCGTCTGTCCTCAGATCAGTGACAGTCTGTGAGACGAGACATTGACTCATTGATTTATGACCTGTTAATAACTGTTGGTATCAAAATGCCAATTTACTCTTATAGTGGAGGACGTCATCCCTCTGCTGTCTGATTGTCTCTGTTGCATTCACTGTCTTGATTGTCTCTGTTGTGTTCACTGTCATGATTGTCTCTGTTGCGTTCACTGTCCTGATTGTCTCTGTTGCGTTCACTGTCCTGACTGTCTCTGTTGCATTCACTGTCCTTCTCTCTGTCTTCACAGACTGTTGCGCTCACTGTCTCCTGGCATGTCTCTTCTGTGAGCTGCTGTCCATGTGTTCGGCTCTGGGGGAGTGTCTGGCGTGTGGAGTGGGCGAAGCCGGGTGTTGTGAAGCTGCGGGTGGCTGCTGCTGCTGTGTGGAGGTGGCAGGAGAGGCGGCCTGTACGGAGGAGGCATGTCAGGCCGTGTTGGATTGTGGGATACTGGAGGACTGCTGTGGCTCGTCCGACTGCCTGGAGATCTGTCTGGAGTGTTGCTCCATCTGCTTCCCCACATAGAGCAGCCAATCAGAGAGGGGTCACAAGATGATGTCACAGACTCTGTTGCCTGGAGACGGAGCAGCTTCGTCCTGGAAAGACAAAACTTTATTGTCCATGTTTGAAAGAAGTCAGAATCTTTTTTATCTTTATTTGTTTCAATGATGAACAAATGACACAAAGACTGAACTCAGATCAGCTGATCACGTTTTGTTGCTGTGTAATGTGCTTTCTCACGGTGCGTTCACACCAAACACAAAGTTTTCACGCGACATAACCACAAACAAAGCCAACGCTAAAGGTCCTGACGCACCGAGCAGACAGTTGGCTGTTGCCCAATGATTGACTCGGCTCTACCTGACTCCACTAAATTCTACCCGTCTCGACTCAACTCTAATCAGTCAAACTTTGTGTGACTCGACTCGACTCTACCTGAGTCAACTTGACAATTAACAATGAGCCGGCAGTCGGCGGTCCCTCAGTGTTGGGCCGTCGGTGAGCATTTGTTGCCCTAGTCTTAGCGTGTCCTTCACCGTTGGCCCGAGTCGACCCTTGTTGGCTTTAGTGACCGATTCAGCATGTTGTGTCTGTGACAGCAGAGCTCATCAAGTGAATGAAATCACTCTGATTGGCAGCTCAGCTCAGCTCATGAGAAGAGAAAGTGAGGAAAGTAAACAAACAGCTAAAGTCCAGAGGGCGTGAGACCAAATCAAACTTGTTACAGAAGGGGTGCGTTCGGGATTACTCACGCCGAGTGTTGGAGTGCACTCTGCTTCCTTTAAGGCCAGGACTTGGTCTGATGTAATTGTGACACATGTTCAGACCTGCACTGACGATGATTTTATACTTAATTTTTATTATGAATTTTTTGTCTAGTTATTTTATTAACTTATTACAGTATATTACTTAATTGTTTGACTTCATGATCTATGGATACACTGCTGCTTGGTTTTTAACTGTGTCTTGTAAAGTGTTCTTAAGCACATTGAAAGGTGCTTATGAATAAAATGTTTTATCATTATTATTATTATTATTATTATTATTATTAGAGCCTCTGTGATCACTGTGTTCACGTCTCTTGATTCCAGCTGTCAGCTGTACTTTTAGCTATAAAGCAAGTTAGCACTAGCTTTAACGTTAGCTGCCTTCCACAGTTAGCACAGCTGTGAAGGTTGAATATTTGTGTGCTGTAAAATACTCCAAAAAAACACCTTTATTCGTAACGCGAGACAAACGCTGGCACAACGTTTGGTGTGAACACACTTTCAGCTTTTTAACAGTCGTGTCAGTGTTCAGATTTCTGTCTCTGTTGGACAGACAGACGGACAGATGGACCGACGTTCAGGGAGCAGTGTTTCCTGTATGCAGAGAGGTGGAGGTCAGGGGTGGGGAACAGTTCACTTCCTGTCACACAGCAGCAGTTAATGTTCACTTTTTTAATAACATTCCTGCAAAGCGTTCAAGTGCCAGTGTTGTTGCAGTCCTGCATCAAACATCTGGATCACAAGAGCCTGAAACTTTGTTTAAATTTCATAACTGTGGTGTTCAGTGAAGCCAAGATGGAGGATGTCAGTCCGCCTGTCTGTCTCAGTGTCCACTGATCTGATGTCCTGATGTGAGACTCTAAACGAGACACATTCAGGTTTTCACACAGAATGTAAAAAAAATGTCACTTTGTTTTGTGGATCAACAAACTGTGAAAACTTTATAATTAAGTACAAATGAAATACTTAAGTATAAATAATAATCGCATTCTTCAGTAGAGGATGAGTTGTGATGATCACATGAACAGGTCTTTGTCACGTAGCTGTAAAAAATAAACACCTGAATGACGTAACAGCAATCTGGTGTTTGTGCGGCACCATGACTGAAGCTGTCCTGAGGTCAGAAACTAAACTTCATGTGTGTAAAATGACAGAGTGAGAATCTCTCTGTGTCCAAACTGATGTTTGTGTGTCTGTGATTGACAGCTCGGGAGGGGGCGGGATCCTGCAAGGACAGGAAGTGTGTGTTTGTTGAAACGATGTGCCAGGACGTCCAAACAGGAAACAGGAAATCACTGAAATGACAATGCCGTCTGACCTCTGACCCCCGGAACGCCTGACATCAAAGAGAGACAGCCACACACACACACACACACACACACACACACACACACACACACCACATCTGAGTGTGCTCAGAAAGAGGCAAAATACTCAGAAACAAGAATCAAAATAATGAATCATTTAAATCAGGTTATAAACAGTTAAAGTCTTTAAACTGAACTCTGTAGTTTCAGGACGACCCAGGCGTGTTCATATGAGACAGTTTGATTGATTGTGATCAGGTAATGAAGATCTTTATCAGTTACTGCCACCTGGTGGTCGCACTGACAGCTGAGCCTGTTGTGAATGAACACTGTTTGTGTCTCTGTGTCAGTTTAATGTGAAGAAACTTTATGTCATATCAGAGATATTGGATGAAGGGAGATACCCAACTGTAGGCTTATCCAATATTAAGAAAACGGTTACTCTTCCTGTCTCCTAAGTGGGCGTGGTTAGCGCTCCCTCCAATCAGAGCCTGTTCTCCCTCACCCCCCCCCCCCTCCCCACCACAGTGTTGAACAGAGGCTCTGTGGATGTCTGTGTATGTGGATCGAGAAGCAGGTGGAATGAAAATACATTCTTCCTATTATTGCAGCCTATTGCTGCACAAAGTTTGGGCATTTTTTATTTATTATTAGCGGTAAATAACTGTTTGTAAACTAACTGTGATTTTACCGCCTGTTTATCAAGATCACGAGATCTCGCGAGAACTCGTTTTCTGAGACGGACAGGGCTCAAACAAAGTTAACTTTCTCTTGATCTGTGCGGATGAAAAATGCAGCTTTAATGTCAGAATATTGGGAAGATGTGTGGCTTGTGGAAAATGAACCCAATATTTACTTTAGTGACTAAAGAGCGAAAGAATTGACCATAAATTGTGATCACGTTCATTTTCCTCATTGACGACAATACATTCAGAGCTGCCGCAAGTCTCCTACGGGGGCGTGGCGCTGACGTCACTGAATCAGGAAGTGAGCTGAGTTGGGTATCTCGCTTAGGTCGTATTTAGGTCACAACACAGTTATTTTATTCACCTCAACCCCAGAGTGCGATATGTATATGTATATGTATATATATATATATACATATACATATATATATATATACACATATATATATATATATATATATATCCATA